CCTCAAACAAGCTGCGTACACACAGAGCCTCGTTGGCAGATTTATTAAAAGGAAGATGGTGTTTAGAGATATGGGATGACAAACCAGACTCTGTGTTCTTTAGTGCCCCATTTATCGTACTTTTGTTAGGGTAGGGCTGCTTTGATCCTCTTTCTCACGAGGCTTTTGGTTCTTGGGAAACGATCAGACAACACGAGCAACCAAAACATTTCTTGTGAAGTTTTTCTCCTTTATTCATAACATTATTTGGGAAAGCTGAATTCTCTTTTCACCTGTGCAAGGCGAATTCAGGAGCAGTCACCTAAGGCATTTAAATATCCAGCTCTGGGGTTTCTTCCCATTTTTCCATGCCTTCAGCAATGAGCATGCAGGGAAAAGAAAAAACCTGCTTTCATTTCTCAGTTGGAAACTTCTGCAAAGTAAGGCTTTTTCTAAATTCAGCATACCTACTTAAACTCACTTGTGTAGGTATTAGGTTTGAAAGCTCTCCTGTGCATTACAGTTAAAGAAGGGTATTAATTATGCTTGGCTGGAAATGTCTCAGGCTAGCAGGACGTTGTCATCCTCAGAAGATGGCCTTAGGCCCATCTGCCCTGAATAAGTATGTCCCTTTCCACGATCTCCTCCATCTCCTTCTAGGATCTTGGCAATCCACTCAAGACTGTTTCAGTAAGGGGCATGTTGCGGACCCCACCAGGCAAGGAGTTTTGGCTGGTGGGGTCTAGGAAGAGGGACTTTTCTGCCGTGGTCCCCGCCCTGTGGAACAGCTTGCCACCTGAGGTGCAGGCTGTCCCCACTTTCCTGGCCTTCCAAAAAGGTGTAAAAGCATGGCTATGCCAGATGGCCTGGGGACCTGATGGGAGCTCGAATTGCTGGAACTGGCTGATGGGATGATTGATACTGCTTCCCCCATCTTCCTGAATTGTATACTGGCTTGGATAGAATTGTTACTTGTGATTTTAATTGGAGGATATTTATACTTTTACCATTCTATTGACTTCATTTTTAATTGTAAGCTACCCAGAGTCCCCCTCTGAGGGAGGTGGGCAGCATATAAATTTAATAAAAAATAAAAAATAAATAAATCTTGTCCCTGCCAGCTCTGGAAATGACATTTTTGCAGCACTTAAAAACCATCCTGGTTCACCAGTCATCTCCTAACTCTCCCCTTCCTGCAGGCACATCAGCCACTTGGTGGAAGATTTTCTGTGTAAATCTCCTTAGTTCTACATACACATTGCTTAGAATTGCACTTCTACATGAGGAGAAAAGGGGAGTGGAAGGACATTTGGGGGGAGACACAAAATGGAGCTATAGGTAATCTTTCAGCGCCCTCCTTGATGTTGCATCACTGCAGGGTTTGTTTCCAACACTTCTCCTAAGAAGAGTGCTTGGCCAAGAAAAACATTCTGAACTTCTATCAGATGTGATAAAAATCACTCTCTTGTTAAGGGGTCCCATTAAAGTTTTGCATATAGAATGCTTACAGTTACCCCTATGCATGAAGAAGGAGGATTGGCCAAACACTTTGGGGAATAGAGTAGGAGAGAGCTCTGCACAGGTTTCTCAACCTCATCCTTGATGAGGTTTTATGTTGCAAGATTGCAGTGTTTGGCCTCAACTAATTTCCTAAGGCCTCTATGCTAATCCTGGCTACTTCATTTCAGCTAGGAAAAAAATATGGTCCAGTCTTCAGTCTTTATCTTGGAGGAACACCTGCAGTCATAACTCATGGATTTCCTTCGGCAAAAGAGGTCCTCGTGATAAAAGGCACAGAATTTGCTGGGAGGGCAGACGTTCCTATAATGGATGCCCTCAGTAAAAAAAAAGGTAACTGAATGTAATTTCCAAGCCCTTTTTTTTCCTTTTCCAAATGCCTGTTTGGTCTTGGGAAGACCCCAAGTTATCCATTCTGTTGTCTATCTACCAATATCCCTTTTTCTCTGCATTCTGGAGTGCTGACCAAAGGTTTCCAGTAAGAGAATGAATAATCTCTTGAAATATTAGAATTACTCCCTTCTCCTTTTTTCTTTTTAAACACTGATGAATAATTATATACTAGAGATTTTGGCATTCAGCTGCAAAAACTCCTACTTCTTTCTTAGACCATGAGAAAAACTACTCAGAGTATTTTGCTTGGCATTATTATGTTCTACTAATTGAGCATTAATTGTATAGTAATTCTCTGTTCATATGCTGAAATTATTGTTTTTGAAAATATACCTTTCTTTTAAAAATCAATCAATCAATTGGTACGTA